TTGTCTTTGAATCGCAGACTTAAGCGCTGAAACCATTTTGGGATTTTTCGAATGCACTATGTCTTTAAGATTTTTCTATAGAAAACAGTCACATGAATTGAAGCTAGGAGCATAGGCTGCCAGTTACTGCTCCATCCACAGTGATCCCGATTTCCCAGAGTAATCACGCGGTTCTAAATTTGACGAAAAAATATAAGAAGAAACAATTGCAACATCAGCAGAGTAAATTCGGTTGTTAGTATTTTTTATTTTATAAACGTCGATTAACAGCCGACTCAAGTTTGAGTTTGCATCTACTAATGTTGAACTCCGTAGAATCGTAATTTTGAACCTAATCCAGAAGACAAGGGAACTTCTAGATCAAGTATGGGGAGAAATTTGGCTTCGTGGAGAACTTTTTGATGGAACTAACCCGCATTTGCGTTACATAAAGAGGGGTTATCCTTACCATCAGGCTAAGATCCCATGGTTAGCTTGACGGTCAGGGGACTTTAACATATGATCCATCTATCACTGAGGATATTTTACGTCAGCACTGTGGTTGATGAGAGCCGGGTGCGGAAGTCGTATCAACCAGCCATTACAGGGATTCGAACCGGGATTCACCGGGAAGTGAGCGCTCTGTCCTCCGAGCCACCATGGCCCAGTTGTTAGTATTTTATTTTATAACCGACCTTGAACAGCAGATCCGATTTCTGGGTTTACTACTACTAATGTTCAAATCCGTTACTTTTGTAATTTTGCACCCAATCCAGAAGACAGGGGAACTCCTGGATCAAGTATTAGGAGAAATTTGTCTTCGTGGACGACTTTTTGATGGAACTAACCCGCATATGTTTTACATGGAGAGAAAAACCACGAAAACCTCCCACTGCTAGCCTGACGGCAAGGGGATTCTAACCCATGATCCGTCTACCGTAGCTGTTAGCATTGTTGATTCCCAAAGTTTCAAAGATTTATGTTCAATGGTTTGCGAGTTTACACTTCTTTAATGGGGAGCTTTCCCTGGTCATTATGTAGGGACATAATCACATTTCATACATTAACTATGTGTACGAGTTTGATATATTGAAGGTTACTCAACATATACCAATATTTTGTTATGTTTCACTAAAAACAAATAACGTTTTAACGTATAAACAAGTAACGTAAAAAATTTCGTGAAAACTCCCAACTGAAAACTTAGTACCAAGCATGCTTGGGAACTAAAAACTGGGGGTTCCGCGTTTGGCTGACTACCCGACCGGAACATCTACTCCTGCATCCCAGAGCCCAAGGTCAAGAAAACTGAGATGGGCACAATAAGCCTTGGTCCTCTATGGGCTGTCGTGCCACTAAGTTTAGTTTAGTTTTTTTTTTTTTTTTTTTTTTTTTTTTTTTTTTTTTTNTTTTTTTTTTTTTGGAAAACTTCAAAAGATGGAATGACATCATCACGGAAAAAATTACTTACTTTGACGCTATACAACAACAATTTTTTAAATGAGAAAACTGAAAAAATATATCAAAATGTGAGAGATATAAAACAAAATTTTGCTTGAACACGAATGAAATAAGCAATCGTGTACTTTAAATAGTGTTTTTTTAATAGGTTTTCCGTAACTACGGGTTCGATAACTTCTTAAATTTTTTTCCGATTTGATTGAAAATTCAGTAACATTTTATAACTGCATGTTCTTAAAATTCAGGCCAAATGTTAAAATTATATTATTAGTCGCTATTAAAATTCAGAATTCAGTTATTATAACATTTTAATTGAACGTATCAATATATATTTAAGACGTTGGTAACATTGAGTGATTTAAACTTTTGGTTCTGGTTTAGATTACCTTATCAGTTTATATACTACTATTTTGTATGTAACTTAAAAGCAGAATAACTGAATTCTAGTTGAAATTAATCTTTCAAAATTAAAAAATATTTGCAAGAAAATGATAAAAATATTATAAATATTGAACATTATTTTTAATATTGAACACAAATTATACTATTTCAAGCAATTCGGATCATTCTTTATTGCTGTTTTCCGAATTATATCTATACAGAAATATATACTATTCTATAAAGGAGAAGAATATTCTAAAAACTATTGCAGTTCTACACGTTCTGAAATCACATTTATTCATTGGAATGAAGTAAGCAACGGTGACTTAAATAACTTCACTTTAATTTGCAATGAATTGAAGGGAAAAGAAAGCATTTGACTGTAATACACACATGTGTACCAGTATGCGATCATGAAAAAAGAAGTTATCGATTGCAAGCTTGTTGGTATTAGAAAGGAAGAAATTAATGAGAAATTGTTCTTCAAATGTTGGGCGTGTTTTGTTTCAGAATGATTTACCTATGTTCTGGGTCGTTTTTTCAAGTTCTTATACCTTTTCCTTAGAGAAATTTTGCTTTTTATATGCTGCTGAAAAAAAAAGAAAAAAAAAGAAGCGTCCTACTCTACCAAAGATTCTAATAGAACTAAATGAAAACTTAATAAATAGTAGCCTGAAAATATCCACCCCGTTAGAGGGCGTATTCAAGTGTTGCAATCACGAATTTATGAACTTATCTTCTTCTTACAAATCGTCTGTTAATATTAAAACTATGAAATATTTCATATCAAGATAAAATCACAAAGGAATGTATAGTTTTCACTCTAATACTGGAACATATAAGAAAATACCTTTTTTTATCAAGCGGGAAATCATATATGGTAACACTCTGACCACGAGTTTAGTTAGTTTGTAAAGTTTATCGTTTTCCTTCATTATTTTTGATTGGATTTATGAGGTTTTTTGTAATCGTTTGGTTATTTGTTTTACTTCGATTTTATGAAATGCTTATTTTTTTAAATGTTGAGTTTTAGTGAAGACAAAAGTACATTTTGCAAAGTAAGTTTAGATTCATTTTAAATATTTTAATTTCTTACCATTTTTCGAATGGTTAAATTTACTTTTATGTTTAATAAAATACATATTTTCATAAATTTATATGGACAAATTCAATGGGGTTCAATCCAGCCTGCTCTGACAAAAACACTGAAAAAATATCGAATTTAAAGCAGTAAATTTTCAAAATTAAAAAGACGATAGCAAGTAAATATAAACTCTTAAGGGATAATTTTTTATTATACCGAGTAAGCCGAGACCCATTGTTAATTTTGATTCACGGTGAATAGACATTAGTATTAAGCATATAATCATGTATAAAGTGCATCAGACATGCACCAGAAGGTTTATTAAGGATTTGTATTTTAATGAGATAAAAACAGAATTTATGAAGTATCAGAACTATTATTCTGTACTATTAATGATGTATTACTTAGGTAAAATACAATTCGAGCAACCAAAGGGTAATATTTTTCATTAATATTTACACAAGAATTTGTTTGGGAAATAAAAAAGAAGGAAGGAAACTCTAAATAGTTCTAGCTTTTCTTTTTATAATTATTTTATAAGAAACAAACGTTTAAAAAGATATGAAAGCAAATTAAAGTGTATGTAATGTACATGTAATACTTAATGTAATATCTAAATCCTAATGCAATATGTCATACGTAATGTAATATGCAATGTATTAAGAAAAAAAAAAGAATTTAAACATTTTGCTTCACTTATATTATAATATTTGCACATTGTTAAACAGTTTTCGATTTTTGTACATACTCATGAATTAGTAAATAAATTTAAAATACATACTCATGAATTAAGTCATAAATACATAATCATAAATTAGCAAATAAATTTAAAAGGTTTTTTTTTAAATTTATAAGGAAAATAGCAGCATAAGTATAAATAGTAATATAAGATGCTTTTATTTATTTTTAATCTTATATTTATTTGAATCCTATTCTGTATTTATTTTAACTGCAATTTAATTCCTATATTTTAAGCTTAAAAGTGACAATAAGGGTATGGATAAGAATTGATACCAGGGTGAAGATACTAATAAGATATTAGCGTAATAAATCTTACTCAAATATTAGAGTCACATTGTTGAAAATTTTTCGATTTTTAATTTTGTTATAAAAAAAGCAGAGTTTACTTATGTTACATAAATTTAGTTAAAGAGTTAATATATACATAATCTACATAAATTTAGATAATTTTTCTTCATTTTATAATTTTCTCATACAAATTTATTCTTTTATTTTCTTAAATATTTTTCATTAATTTGGTTTTGGCGATAAATGTGGCAATAAATATTTGTACACTTTGAAATTGATTTTCATAATTGCTATAGATTCAATGAAATTCAATAAATCCATTGGAATTGTGAAATTATTAATTAAAGTGCGATAAAAGAAAAACACATACATATAAAAATAAAAATGAAACGTTGAAGACTGAATTTAAGCTGTACCCCTTGTTTTCTATTTCAAATTTTTTTTCTTCAAAATTTATGATAGAGAATTAATTGATTTCCCCATTAGAGAGTTTTTGTTCCTTAAAATTTTCTCATGACCATTTATATACACTTTCTTTCAATGACCATTTATATACACTTTCTTTCAATGAACTAAAGTAGACTTTAAATTTTAAAATTAATTTAAATTTACTGATTTTTTTATACGAAAAGTTATTATGCTCTTTTCAAACTAATTTAAAATATGTTTTTTTTTTAAAATTATAATATTATTTTAATAAAAAATGCTCATTTTTTAAATTTTGTTGAATTTATGATTACGTTTCAAATAATTTGTAAAAGGAAAAATGCATAGCAATTTATACATTTGTGAAATGAAAATACTCTTAAATTAGCATTTAAAATTTAATAAAAAAAATCTTTACAAAATTATCTTCTTTCACAAAAAATTATTTTCAAATTATTGTTAATAATAATGTTTAAAACTAATTAAAAGATCAGAGAAATTGTGGGCCATATTTGATTCGTCAGCAAGCTGCATGTTGATTTGTCAGATCAGAGTTAAAAAGAAAAAAGGAAAATAAAACAGGGATGACTGACTATCAGGATAAGAAGTGGCGCCAATGGGAATAGTTATCTCGCCAAACCGTTAAGATGTTGATGCAGGGTGGAGAACATCTTGACTTATTCATTTAGAGATAGTGTCGAGCGACTTCGTAGTTTTTTCAATTTTCATTTACGGACACAGAACGTGGTTTTACCCCGTACGCGAAGTGCGAATATGCTACGTTATGTGCCCCAATTTTGGGACCAAATGTGTCCGAGAATCTGTAGGATTTATATTTGTCTTAAATTTTGATAAAATATGGAAAATAGGAAAGAAATTGCGGATTTTACAAAGGACGTATTTTTTAGTGACATTTTTCCTGTTGACAACCTTCTGTAGTGGGTTGCCAATTATCGCGCCAAACCGAGGAAATTTATCTACATCAGCTGTTTCCCGAGCTGTTGTAAGTAACAAAGAGCTTTTTTTCTGTTTTAAAATCTTGTTGAATAGTATCAGATAGTATTCTATGAATTAAAAAATAATTCATTTTATGATAAATGTTTTTTATTAAATGTATCACAATTAATTATGATATATGTATAGTAAAATAAAGTCTCATCATGAACCGGGATAACTTTTTCAGGTTTTTAAAATATGCTTTTTAAAGCCTTGCCAAGTATCAGAGCAAACAATATTAAAAGTTAGTTTTTCATCTATTGCTTAGCTCATAAACATTTCATGTACTAGAAATTATATTTATGTTGCATTGTTTGATAGTTTTTTTATGAATTTATGGATAATTCTTTTTGTGAATAATGTTAATCAGAAACCGAAAAATCTAACAATTAAAAAAATTAAACAAATAAAAAAATTTAAATTACCGTGAAGCAAAATAAATTCCTCAATCTTTCAGAATATTAAATATTTTCAAGTAAGGAAATCATACTACTAAAAAGATAAGATCTACTCAATTGCTTGGTTCAGGAACTTCTCTGGACTCCAAAAAATATCTATGAATTTAAAGATAGTTCTTTTAATAATTAATTTCTAGACTTTAATTAATCCTGAATGAATGTAGTATACTTTAAGGACATTCTTAAATCACTGTACATCGAACTGACATATGATTTTTGACACATTGGTAAGTTTATAAATTAAACGATGGAGAAAATAATTGTCTCATAGTTTGGTTCAGGAACTTGATGAGAAGTTTAAGAAAATCATATTTAAAAAACAAGACGAAGTTAGTCCAGAAGATCTTAAAACTTGTCTTACATTTATTGCAATAATTCATCTTATTATAATTCATCAATCTTTCAAAATCAAAACCTTTTTTTTTTAACGTTAAGATTTTCAGACTATTTTTTATCTTACAAAAGTACATTGAGTATTTTCTAGATCACTGTAAAAAATTTCTGATCAAATTACGGCATAAAGTTTCCACACTTTGGGCGCATCATTCATGAATCCATTTTACCGTAAAATTCATTTTTATCGTAAAATACCGTCATCTTTACAGTAATATTTATATAATTAGAGTTATTCAGTGATTTTGCAGTAATCATTATTGCAAAAATTACCGTATATCAGATTTTTTGTTGCCTAATAGGTTCCGGTAAAAATGGATTTTGCGGTAAAAAGTATCGACACCCTGAGGTGACAGTACTTTATACTAAATTTCTTGCATTGTTATTACAATTGTGACCAAATGAAATTTTTTTCGCTAATTTCCCTATTTTACACTTAATCTTTGTAGAACAATGTGTCGATTTGCATCTTAGTGATTTTAAGAACCTTTGTTTGGAAAATAAAACATTAACAAAAATATAATAAAAAGTTGCCATAAAAAATAAATTTGCTCTATTTACAGCTCACTATAACATGCATTTAAACTGAGCATTTTCATAATATCACTTGCATGCTTTTCATCTAAGCTTTTTATTTATAGGAAAGAAATTTTGAAAACTTTTCTTTAGAGTTAAATTAGGTCTATTTTTCTTATGTGTTTCATCTATGTCTAGTTTCGACTTATGTTGTTACGGCACTTGAAACTTGTGTGATGAAAAAACAATTTTTCTGTATTTTTATCTTAATATCAGTCAGTGAACTCCTTAAAAGCGATTTATGAATGTTTCCTTGTTCTTTTTCAAAGAGATTTGTTAAATTTTTTTTCTCGTCATCGTAATGTAAACAAAATATTCCTAAAAATAAATATTATAACTTTGTATCTTTTCAGCACATGTGACTTATTCTCTGAAATTACTGAAAAATATTAAAAGAAAAAATTCTTAAGATGTTTCTTTTAGTTTGATCGAATTATAGTTAATATTTTTTTTCATTTTTCAAGCGTTTTACTGAAAATCTGGATTTTGCTGGCTGTTATATTTTTGTCTACTGTTTTTCTCCTTAATTTTTCTGCTCATTTAATTTTCAAACAAAATTTTTACTTTGAACTTTTAGTCAGAAATGATAATAATGTTGTTGGAATGCAAATAAACAATTAAAAAAATCAAATAATTTAAAAAATGTTGATGAAAAACTTTGTAAGAAACCTTTTTGGTTTACATTTTTCTGCGTTTATGAGACTAAAGTAGTGTGAATTGCAATATTTTCTTTACCCCTCAAAAAGTATGAAAAGCGATATAATTGAACTCTTTGAGGTCGGATGTCTATTGTGCTTAGCCACCAAAGCTTTTCACCATTCGTCTGCATACAAAGAAGCATACCACAAAAAGACACCACACAAAGAGGCATACTGATCTTTAAGTATCAAACAATACTGTTCATTGAAATCGTTTGAGCTTGGAGTTAAATAAAATTTTAATTTTTTACATATCTTAATTAATTTCATATAATTATAAAATTTACCTGAAACTTGTAAAACCTCTATCTGGAAACAATATTAAAGGCCAGTTTCATGTAAAAACGTCATCCTTAGAAAAACCATGACATGTTACTATGTTGCCCATTTGCACGGGAGCCCTCACATTTTGTCCTCAGACTGCCCCTTATTGTAGCTACAAATGGTGATTTTTTTTAAACAAAAATATTGGTTTGCAGTATTTTTAACTAGCATTGCCATTTGTTAACGAAATTTGTAACTAATTCTGAAACTTGGGGAGAATAAATTAACTTGTTTCCAAAGCAAACTGCATATTATCGCTGAATTTTAGATCGTCAGTAGTTTTTGACATGTTCGGTTGAATTATTATAGCAAACTTATGAGCTTAAACTGCAAACATTCTTAACCAAACGCTTTTATTATCGTACGTATCAGTTAATTATATTTTATTATAACTTATGCCACCCTATTAAGTATAAATATTCATTATCCATAATACAAATATCCATTTTTAAATAATTAAAGTACAAAAATGGAACACCCCTTTCTAGTAATTCAATTTTACACAAGCAAATTTTAGTCTATAAATTATTAATTTAAAAAAAACTATGTATAATTAACAAAACTGCGTCAGTAAAGTGAGTTCAAAATTTTTCAATCCTTTATCGTAACTGAGTATCAATGGCTGACACAAACAGACTTTATTTTAAACAGGAAAACCACGCCTGCATTTGGTGATTCCACTGAGATAATTTTATCATTTCGTCTGTGGTTACGGTGACTGTCCTCTTATTAACGAAACTAAAGATACAATCAGAAAATAGTTTTTTTTTTATGAATTAAAACGGTTTTCCCTTTTCTGAGATATAATTCATGTTGGAATTAGTTAAAAAATTTTGTTTCTATGTTGTGTTTTTATAAATTGAGAAAATAGCTGAAATATGACATTTATATAACTTGATTTCCCATTTCGTTACTATTTTGTTATTATACTGTTTCTCCAAAGTTTTTTTTTTCAACGATTTATTTTCTGATTATAGTTTTAAACTAAACAATAAAGTTTTTTTTTTCGGTGATATATATGATATACGTGTAAGTTGAGACGAAATATTGTGTGATTAAGAACAGAAAAAACACTGGGTAACAAATTTTTTCTTGCACTTTATTTATACAAATACTTTATCTTGCCCAGTTCGTGCATGGGATTTCAAATTTGAATTTTGACTCTAAAGCTACAGTTTTTTTTAAAATTACAATTTTAGTTTATATTTGTGGAAATGTACAAGTTCAAAAACGTTATATATAACAGGAGTCGCGTAAATGTTACGACAAATTTCTAGACTTGCTTAGGTACATCATCAGCATTAAAACTGCATAATGCATCCCCATTATGACCTGTTCAGCAGCACACGAGAAGAAAAAAAAAATCGTAATAGAGAAGCGCTCCTATAGGCTTACGACGACTTTTCCGGCTATGGGCTCCTATGAAGTTTTAATCCTGATGAAGGGCCTTAACTCCCCTAGAAGTTTGTCACGCAATTTATGCAATCCCCCCCCCCCTGTTGCACATTTCGATAAATAAAAAAAGTCTAAAAATGTCATTTAAAAATGATAGCTTTGCGAGAGAAACCGATTGGTAACCGATCGAAACCGATTGGATAAGTGGTACGATAGTATCAAAGATCTGTTTAAAACTTTCACATAACAGAAAACAAGATATAACAGTTCCCCAATGTAATCAGTTTTGAACAGTATCGCGGTTCAACTTGTCATCCAAGATAAAAGATCTAGCAAATTAGGACGACATTTTGGTTTACCAAGCACTAAAATATCTTATTAGTATTGTTAGAATACTTAATGGAGACTTTAATATAATGTCACTATTTTGCACGCGAATGCTTCGAAATTTTTTTTAAGTTGTACAGTACTTTGAGAGTTTCTGCATAGTATTGTATACCGATTTTTTGAAAATTTAAACTGCTTAAGACTTATTTCATGTAGAAATATTTGACAGATAAAGTTTGCGAGAACCGTATTTAAGAAATAGCGTTTATATTACCTTCATAATAAAATAGACAAATTGCACTTTCTTTGTTTGAAAAACTACGGCTTCATTATTTTAGTTTTCTTTAAAGAGCATTTGTAGCAATCTTTTTGTTTAAGAGCTATGATTTACTGTTTCGTTCGGTTTACGGTCTTGTCGTAAACTTTTGAAGTTTTCTGAAGAAAAAAAATGGTATTAGTTTTCTCAAAGAAGAGTCTTTCTATAAGAACACTATGATATTATTTCTAATTTTAAGCTTCTTTGCTTTTGCCGAGAAAAGTTAAGATTGGAATCTGAGAAACATTAAAGTAATTTAAATTATTGGTAAGTGATTGAATTTAATTTGTTATTATTTCAGATCTCAATTTTTTCTATATATTACTGTATACGTTACGCCCATGTATTGTAGGTACATATTATTGTATTTAAAAATCATAAATGTTCTTATTCGTTTTTATCCTTTTCTACTGATTTTATTATTGTATTACAATAAAAACATATTTCTACTGTTTCAATAATTATACAGCAGTTAGCTGTTAGAAATTTCAGATCTGAAAGTTCATGTTGAGCTCTAAAA